CATCTGAATCAAGTCCAAACGCTCACTCTCTATTACTTTACGACAAATTTTAGTAATATTCTCAAACCTACAAAGATTTTTAAGTAGCCTGTTCCCTTAAAGTTTTCCAATTACAGTTTTGTAGACGTAGTTCTCATCTCCAAAACCCAAATACTCCATATGAAACCACACTCTCAAAGTGCAAAATAAAAACTGAAATGTCAAGTAGGTATATATATATATACATATATAAAAGAATCGGTCTTTAATAGCTGCAGCGTACATACAATGACGGGATAAATAATCTGCACAACTTTAAAACCATACAAACAGAAACCCCACCGAGTCACGTTTTATTACAGCATTTTCACTGATACCTAACAGTCTGTATTTCAGTTTATTCTTGGAATACAGGCTAAGAGAAGTCAAATATGAAAAGACCACACAAGGCAATGAGCAACTCTCCAGTCTCAATGGATACTAGCGAATAAAAAGCTGCTTAATAAAATCGAGGTAGTTCCTCAATGTAGACAACCACTAATGATGTCAAAATATCACAGAGATCGGAAATCCTTTAAAGAGAATTTCTAACTATTCAAATTAGACTTTATTTCAATAGAATGAAGCGAAAATGTTCTAACGTAGCTTATCTCGAATATATTTCTTCAATACACGAGCGTTATAAATCCTCTTCAATGGGTTGAAATGCCTTAAAGGCAGTCTGTTCACAATGAAGATATTTAATAAACATTATTGTATGGAGCTGACCAACAGTCAGATGGGCCACAGTGAATACAAAAATTAAGTTATAACTTTAGGATTTATCTTGGTTTATAAATTCCGTAGGAGTTGCGGAGCGATGATGAATTATGTACTGGAATTCAAGTTATGAATAGCCTACGCCAATAGGCGTACAACAAATCAGATAGACTGTCGGATTATTGGACACGGCGGTTTAGTAAGTTTCCATAAGTTTTTTGCGTGAAGTGAAGTGAAGTGCAAAGTAAACGCATAATGTGGATGTCGTGCCTGTACGTCCGCATGTTTCAACTTCGAAACTTCTCTATGGATTCTACAGATACTAAAGTTATAGGTCTGTATCGTGAATTCTTGGGAAAACTTTATTTCCACTCACACTGTCTAATGTAAACCCTAAAAATACCCACAGATTAAACTTATTTAGTTATTTATTTATTAACATTCTTTATACGAGGCGCGTCCACAAAGTAAGTTTCCCACTCGTCCCACAGCTAGCAAACCTTATATTGCGCGAAGCGACTGTGCGTACGTGATAGAGCAATGACGTAGCATGGCGCATGCACTAACGGCAC